CAATGGATTGCTCCTTGAACGAGGAATCCATTGGTGGGGTCACGCGTTTGCTTCGAGTCCTGTTTAGCGACTCTCGAGCTCAAAGGCTGTGCCGCTGTGCCCCGGCCCGGCCGGCCCGGCCCTCGTTGCCGCAGCGCACGCTCTTTGCTTGCAGCGGGCCTGCAGCGAACAGGCTTTGGCGCTTTAGTGGGTCTCGTTCTCAGCGACAGCGCCGTAATTTGGCCGTGGCGCCTTAGGCTGCCTTTGGCCTTTGGCTTCGGCCGTTCGCTTGTTTGGCCTATCGGCTCGTTGGGGCCGTGGTTTTCTTCCAGCGGCCATTGTGGCTCGGAGGCCGGAGGCAGGAATTGGCGGCCGATGCAGGAAGGCCATTTTGTCGCGCTGTCTCCGTCGCTCTCATGGGGCGCTCCATGAAGGTGTCAACGCCTCTACGCTCTCGCCTTCCATCGACAAAAAGGAGTCGTTCAAACCATGTTTTCCGTCTCCGCACTCCAAGTGAGGTGTTCTCCACGTTTGCAGCATGCCAAGATAGGGGGTCTATTTCGAGGTCTATTTGAACTCCGCACCAGGAAGTGGCGTTCTTGGTTTCACAGTGCAGGGATGCATTATTCTGCCATTCTGTCTGGACGCGCAGTGCACTGGTAGTCGCGAGACAAGGTGTGACATTTCACGCCCACGGTCGCGCTGCTGCAAGCCCGCCAAGGACTTGATCCTCGTGACAACAGGAGTAAAGAAGTACGGTGCAGTTGGTACAAAATGGGTGCGCGCACCGCATCGCTCACGGCGTATCAAAATACAAGGCACGCTCTCGCACTATCAGTTTCAAACATCTAGTGTACTCGCGTCCCCCGCCCCCTTTTCTCTAGCCTGACACCTGATCCCGCTGTGTCCACATCGTCACGGTGAGGTGCCACCTGCCCGTAATCAACTTGTCTCCATGGAGTTGGGTCCCACTGCTGGCCACGCCACTGGCGGTACGCCCTTGCCACGCCACTGGCGGTACGCCCGGTCCATGAGAAGGGTGCCCTCCAGGGGGCGGCGTGGCGGAGAGGTGCAGTCCAGCAACATGGCGTCGCCTGCTGGCTTTGACGCCGAGATAAATCACGCCCCCCCCCCCTTTTCCCTCCCCCCTTTCCCCCGTGACACCTACCACTCACACGGGCAATTCGTTATAAAGTAAAAAGCAGCGGCTGCGCACCGCCAGAAAGTGTGTTTTTGAAATCGGACGCGGTATGGTATGTCGTCTTACCGTGTCTGGCGTTGGATGAATTAAGAGAAAGGTCAGGAAACCTTTATCGGAGGATGGCTTCGCAGAGTGGTGACCGGAGGAGACCAATGCTCAGCGAGGCGTTGTTCATCGTCGGTTACCGCGTTCGTGTCGTCCGCATCGGACTGACTGTGCGACCCCATGCCCACCCTCTGTGCGCTGGGCCGTGCTGGGCTTCGGCGCGCAAACGGCGGCAAGGGAGCAGCAGCACTGGTTTCCTGGTTTCCTGCTTCCCCGCTGGGAGTTGCCGCGCTCTGCTGCGAAGCGGAGCCGAAGCAAAGCCCTCGTTGATGGATCACTTAATCCAGCGCAGATTGGCATTGGCGCTTTGCACCGACACGGCCGTGCCTAAGGCCGTGCCGCCTGGAGGTCCGTCCGCCCAGCATAGCTTCCGCACAGTCGTTTTGTCGCTCTCTCTCTCTGTGTCTCTCTCTCTCTCTCTCTCTCTCTCTCTCTCTCCTCTCTGCTCTCTCTCTCTCTCTCTCTCTCTCTCTCTCTCTCTCTCTCTCATGGGGTGACCCGTATAGGTGCGAGAGAGACAGTCTGCGCGCCGTGTCGGCAGCAGCACATCCATCACGGCCTTCACACAGCCAGTCGCAGGACAGTGCCTCCCAAAATCGGCGCGGACGAACCAAGAGCCAACCTGGCGTGGGGACACTCGTCATCCTGGTTGCTATCAAGGTCGCCGTCCATTATCCAGAACGTCATCCAGGTCGTCATCCAGAACGTCATCCGTGTCGTCATTCACAACGTCAATGTCAACCAGGTCATCATTCAGAACGACATCCAGGTCGTTATCCAGGTCATAGAGTCATCCAGGTCATCATCCAGAACCTCATCCAGGTCGTCGTCCAGCTCATCATCCAGAACGTCATCCAACCTGCAGCTTATCATCCAGGTCGTCATCCAGGACGTGATTTGCTTCCGGAGCTGCGAGCCACCCCCAGCAAGGAAATATGGCTGGCAGTGGAGTGGATACACACGTGAATACACGTATCGTGCCCCGTCGCTCGTAAATCGCGCAATTCGTTGGTTCTCCGCTTCGTTGTTTCGGCTTTCTGCACTCAGGGGGCGCCACTCCACAAGGGCGAGGTGCCAACGCCCCGGCCCGAAAGAGGACCAAAATGGGCCAAAAAGGTGGCGCCCACCACCACAACAAAACACGCTTCGTGTGGTGACGCGCGCGATCTGCAGTTCGGTGTTTTATTGCCTCGCGGTTTGCTCCTGTTGGGTTGGCAGCCCTGTCGGCCCAGTGGTGCAGTGGTCCATCAACGTGCCTTTCCACCGCCGAGCTGTCGTTTTGCGACTCGTGCTCGTTGCAGCGAGTTGGGCCGTTCATCCCAATTAATACATGCCAAATAAAAAGGTCGTTTTCATCGCAAAGCCCGTCATGCTCAGTATTTCGTGTTTTGTTTTTAAAACAGAGGTCGAGGGCAAGCGGACGCGGTGCGGCGGGCAATCGGGTGGCTTGCGCACTTCAGCGGCGAACAACGCCAAAGCCCATCGGTTTCATTTCCGTTTATATGTCTTTTTTTTTAGAGTCCGTATTATCGGAAACAAATACCGAAATTATTTTCCATGGCCCTCCCCACTGCTGTTTGCCGAGAGAGACAGAGAGACAGAGAGCGCTTCGTTGTGGCGCTGTAATTATTGTCCGCGTGATGGACTCGTAATTGAATCAATCGGCGTTTGTGGCTGCGATGCGGATGGAAGGGCAGTGTGGTGCAGCACGCCCAGCACGGCGTGGCGTGGCGAGGCGCAATGTTGGCATCAATATGAGGTGTTGAAGCGACACTTCGTTTTCCAACACCAATCCAACCAACCCCCCTTTTTTTGCCTCCGGCCTCCCACACACACTCACATAAACGCGCGCACGCTCACACACACACACACACGCGCACACACACACTGGAAGAGGGGGGTCGGGGGTGAAAATGCAGGAGAAGCACGGGCGGCGGGGCGATGCGAGGCAAACGCGAGTAAACGAACCGAAAAGCAAACGATGTAATTTTAATGATCACAGGCACCCACACACACACACACGCGCGCGCGCGTCCACGCTGGCCCGGGGGCCCGGGGTAAACACCATTCCGATGCACATCGATCACGGAGCGCCACGCACGACGCTGCACTGCATAAACTCACTTTGAGTGCATCAAAGGGACCAACGCGGCGAACGCGGCCAAAAGGGCCGCCGCGCCATGCTCGCTTGCACGTGTGTTTGTGTGTGTGTGTGGGGGGGGGGGCAAACAGTGTGTCCGAAACACGCCGCGCAATTAGGTCCTGGAACCTGGACACAACTTGCACTCCCACCACTTAGCCCCCCCCCCCTTTTACACACACACGCTCACACACACACACACACACACACACACGCCGTCGCCGCCGCTGCCGTAGAACCTACGCGCGGGAAGATCCGGAACTGCAGGTTTGAACTCCATAGGCCAAAGCCCGTAAACCCGGAGGGAGGAAGTGAGGAAGAGAGCTGCCCCTCCCCTCCTTCCCCTCCCCCTCCCCCCGCCCGGCAACACCACAGGCTGGTCAGGCCGTAGTTAGGCAACTTGGCCGGGCCGGGCCTCGCCGTTCCACTCCCCTCAATAATGAATGCCAGCCGAACCCTCTAGCCGCCCCTGCTGCCCCTACACTGGCCGGCCAGCTAGCCACCCCCTTTGCCGTGGAAACGCCGCTCGCCCGTTCGTTGTGTATTTTTAATTGCGCGCGTGCATCCCGCCGTGCCGTGCCGTGGCGTGCCGTGCCGCGCGGGAGTGCGGGAAAGGCCGGAGCACGCGGAGTAGAGCCCCTCTCGCTCCCTCGCAGTGCTGGCGCCTCCCCCTCCACTGTCAGCGCGGGGAAGTCCGTGCCCCGTGCCCCGGGCCCCGGGCGGGCCGGGCGGGCCGACGACGCGTCATCGCGGAGCCCGTTAGCGCCGACAGGCCGACAGGCCGACATCAGCAGATTGCCGAATGCTGTAATTCTGCTAATCTGGCTCCGCGACGCCCCGCCCCCACCGCCCTCGCTCCGTTCCCCTCCCGCTCGACGGCATCCTGGAGGTCGTCCTGGTGGTCCGGGGCCTCTGCCCGTGTCGGCATCCCGGCTAACGACTGCCGAATTGCCCTTCAACACTTATCACGGCTCGGCACGCGCCGCGCACGCGTCGCCGTGGGAGGTCATAAACGGAGGCGCCGGCCGTGCCGCCGGGTGTCGCACTGCATAACTACTTCCTCTCTCTAACTCAGGGCAATAGCCTCTCCCTCCACCCTGCCTGTGAAAACTCACGCCCCTCTCCCTCCCTCTCTGGCGGGGGCGGCGCGGCGTCGCCCGGCGTCGCGTGGCACACCATTCTCGGAGCATTTCCCATAGTGATTTTCCCCTCTGCGGATAGCGCCAGCCGCGCCGCCGCGCCAGCGCCACTGTCTCCGGGCCTCCGGCGCCGCTGCAACCCCCGGCCCGCCCCGGCCCGCCCCGGCGGAGGCGCCCTTCCACCGCGCTGCCGCCGCGCCACCCCCGCCACGCCGCGCCACCAGGACTCCCCGCCCCCGCCCCCGCCCCCGCCTGCCGTGGCGTCCGAGCCGAGCGGCGCCTCCGCCTCCGTCTCGGCTCCCTTCTCCCTCGAGGCGGCCAGCCCAGAGCCAGCCACTCGGGCCCTACGCTACGCGCGCCGCCGCGCCGCCCGGCCGGCTCGCCGCACTGGCAGGCAGACAGCCATGCGCCGCGCGCCGCCGCCGCCCCGCCAGCAGCCAGCCAGTCTGCCCGCAGCGCCCGGCGAGAGAGCACGCGGAACGCAGGAGCTCTGCCGCCGCGGACGACTTCGCGCATCGCGCTCTTGCCGGCACGCTCGTCGACGTCGAAGACCCCAAACAGTGACATTCGCTTCGCCGCCCGGTCACCGCGCTACGACCCGACCACCTGGCCAAGGACCGGCCCAGCGCCACTGGATTACGCCCCTGGATTTACGCGTGTGTGCGCCTGTGCGTGTGTGGGTGCGAGTGACATGTGAAACAGTGTTAGTGCTGAATTAGAGAGTGATGTCGCCGAGCTGCCCGTCGTCGCCTCGGCCAGGAATGCCCGCCAGGATACCGCGGCGGCTCGAAGGCTGAGACGGCCACCATCGCCTCGACGCGGCTCTTCCGAACGGTGAGTGCGGAGGACGCGGAGAGGAACCCGTCCCGGTCCGGTATCAGCAGAGGCATCAGCGGCCCACATCGACGGCTCCATTCGATTCACGCCAAGTCAACCAGCGCCGCCTCGCGCCTCGGCCTGGCTGGAGACAGCTCAAGACAGCTACGCCCCGGCTCGGCTCGGCTCGGCTCGGCGCCGTCCGCGTGGCCCGGCTGGGCTGGGCAGCGCGATTCCTGCCCGGCTCGGATGGCACTCAAGCCCAAGTGGCCCAAGTCGCTTGTCGCTTGGCGCGGCTCCTGCGACGCCGCCTCGCGGTGACAGCTGCGCGAAGCCTGGCGAAGCCTGGCGAAGCCTTGCCACGGCCCCGCAGCCCTGCACGCCATGCAGTGCATGATGCAGTGCATGATGCAGCACGTGTCCGCCTGTCCGGCCCCGCCGTGCTCGTAATTGGAGACACAATTTATTACTACTCACGCTCGGAACATTTGTACGGCCGGTACCAGCACGGCAGGCCGTCAGGCAGGCCAATGTGTACGATGTGTACACACGCCGGGCAGACAGCGCAGCTCCCCGAGTGGTCCGGGCGGCCGGCCGGCCAGGTCCGCGTCGTGGTGTTTGTTTTATCTGGCCCTGCTGGGCCCTGCCTGCCTGGCTATGCGCGCCCCGCCGGGCCGTGCCTGCCCTGCCCCCTCCATGCTGCCCGTCGAGGCGAGGCTGCCTTCGGTAATTGATTGTCTCTGGCCCCTTATTGATAATTTTTTTTCGAGGCGGGGGAGGGGCGTCCGGAGGCACCAAGAAGGATGGCGCGGCGTGGGGCGCACTGTGAGCGCTGTGACTGCGCCTGACAGCCGGCGCGGCGTCGTCTCACCCAACTCGCTCGCCTCGCGCTCCGCGTGCCCCCCCGCCCCGCCCCGCCCCGCCCCGCCCCGCCTCGCTGTGATTTACGGATGCGGCTCTGGCACTGCCGGAATTTGAGTCAAGTTTTGGAAAGTCCCGTCGCCTTCCGTGCCGAGCCCGGTCGCGCCGGGCCACTCGCAGACGACGAATGAATGGGTCGACGCCGGTCGACGCGCACACTGCTGGCTGTGCGGGTCAAAATCCCGAACGCGTTTCCAGCTCCAGAGTCGCTGAATGGGTCTTGAACCGAACGAGTGACCAATGGATTGCCCTCCGAACGAGGAATCCATTGGTGGGGTCACTCGTTCGGTTCGAGTCCCAAACTCTGAGGCTCGAAACCCGTCTATGGCCGTCGGTCTTGTGGCCCACTGCGCGCAGTACCTCTCGGAACCCCCTCGACGGCATTTGACAGGGGGTGCACGTCTCCTACCCCGCCCTCTCCTGGCGGCTTTTGTCGGTTACTGTACCCTGCACGGCTCTCGGCCCTCCCCCTTCCCGAGGCACTGCACTTGGCATGCGAACCCGCGAGCGGGCCTCCGGGGCCTCCGCCGTCAAATATGCCTGCCGCCCTGCAGGTGAGGCGAATGCGCGATGCTGAAGATGGCGAAGACGGCGATTGGCTTTTCGTCTTCGTCAGTGTCGCTGTCTCTCTCGCACTCATGGGGCGTGCCGCATAGGCGCGAGAGAGACAGAGCGACGAAAACGACTCCCGGCCTGCTGCACGCAGCCCTCCGCGGCGTCACGCCACCGCGACACACACGCGACCGTGACTGCCGCGGCCGTTTGTCACGTGTCACACGCGTGTCACGCCGTGTCACGCCGTGTCGTCGCGCGGCCCGTTTACATCAGGGCGACGTGATAAATTAACACTTGGGCTTAATTCGTGCACGCACGGCCAGCGGCCGCGCCGCCGGGGATCGAACCGCCGCCCTGCCGTGTGTGTGGCTCGGCGTGCGGGTGGGTCAGTACACCGACGACGACGGTGGCCAAAACTCGAGACGCGTTTTGAGCTCCACAGTCGCTGAACGGGTCTCGGACCGAACGTGTGACCCCATCAATGGATTCCTCGTCCGGAGAACAATCCGTTGGTGGGGGCACAAGCTCGATTTGAGTCCCATTTACGTAGCTCGACGCGTCCGGTATTTTGACGGGCTCCACGGTCTTCTGTGCGCTCGCCTGGCGGGCGTGCTGCTTCGCCAGCTTCGCCTCATTTGACTTGGCAATGGAAGGCTTTGGCTTTTTTTCGGCCACGACGCCGTGCCCTTCGCCGTCGTCGCCTCGACGAGCGAATGAGGACGGTCCTATCCAGCAGGCTGAAAGTCGTTTTGGTCGCTCCGTCTCTCTCGCACTCATGGGGAGTTCCGTACAGGTGCGAGAGAGACAGAGCGACGAAAACGACCCTCAGTTGACTTACAGGCCGACGTCGTGGCCTAGTCCTGCACAAGGGCCCTGTCACCGCCAACTATGATGAACGCACGGCCGTTCCGCCCAATGCGTCCCTCGATGACGTCACTTCCAGTTCGCAACCTGCACCGCCTTCTGCCCACTGGGCTGCGGGGCAGTGCGGCGCAGGGGCGGATCTAGGGCTGTTTTCGGAGGGGGTATGCCACACCTGTGCCTGCCTCCAGTGCCCTTTTTGCCCACGTTGAGGGCTGGCGTCGCGGCGAGCTCATTCATTTGAATGCTGCAAGAAAGAAGACCGGACGCGCTTCTTCTCGAGGGAAAGCGACGCCGCACTTCTAGTGCTGCACGGCGGTGCGAACGGAGCGTAGGACGCGTTGCCTTGTCGCGGGCACTGGCTCCGAGAGTCTGCTCTGTCTCCCTCGCACTCGTGAGGCGTTCCCTATGGGTGCGAGAGAGAGAGACAGAGCGACGGGAGCGGTGTGCTGCGACGCGCGGGCTGCCGTGTCTACAGTGTAGTCGCGCGATAACGGCGAGACGAGGCGGGTCGGGGACGGCCTTGGGTGCAGTCCAGGCCGTGATTCGAAAAAACGCTTCTACTTGTTCCAATCAACGGGACTGGTGTGTGGGTGTGTCTACACTGGCGCCGCGGGGACGGTGCATCTGGCGCGGCGACTTGGACGAGAAAAGTCCATTTGGCTGTGTCTAGCGCCCTCTCCCTCCAGTGTGGGACGGGCGGGATCGGCGGGGGCAAGGCGGGGCAAGGCGGGCCAAGGCGGGGCGGGGGAGGTGGGTGACATTCCTCAGCGCACAGCACACCAACACGAGGCGGACTCGCTGGGCCTCGCGCAACTACACTGCATACTCGGCCAGACTGCACAACTCCGGGCGCGACCAAGTTTCCGGATATCTGGAAGAACACTTCGACATTTATTTTCTAAACTGATTTGACAAAAACGCACACTCTTAAAACCTTACGAAGTATTTTGAGCATACATATAACAAACTAAAATACTTCGTTATACGAAGAAATAGTTCGTAAATTACGAAGTATTTTCTTTGTTAGCTTATGTATGCTCAAAATACTTTGTTATACAAACTACTTTTCTTTGTAAGGCCTAAAATAGTTTGTAAGGTTTTCTCAGTGCAGAATCCGTGGCAGAAGCATGCGTCTTTGTGACGCAATTATTTGCTGAGAAGGACTGTGAAGAGAATACCGAGCGGTTTGCTCGCTGTCGTCACGAAATCAATGCTCATTAGGAACTGGAATGTTTGGCAGTGTAGTGGCGTCATTCCCAGTATTCCATGCAGGTCCTGTGCCAGGTCCTGAGCCAGGTCCTGTGCCTGGCAGTGGGGCGCACCCACGCTCCCTCGCGCAGGTAGAAGGCCGGTCGGACGACACGAACAAGTTCTGCTAAATCTTCCCACAGAGTCCCACACACTGTCGAAACGTTGTGTTTATTTGTGGTGCGTGTCATTTCGGCGGCGCGGGGACTCGAACCCACGATCCATCCATCCCCGCGTGTCGTTGGATCCCCTGGATGACGCTATCGGCCGGTAATCCCGCCGTGATGAAAAGGTCGAACCACCTCGCGGCGGGGGAAAGGGGGGGGGGGAGATAGATTAAGCTTATCGCGCGTAACGACATGTCAAGCCCTTGTCAACCGTGTATGCCCCTCTAGCAGACGGAGATTGTGTCAAGTGCCCTGTCAATTATTCGAGGAAATGGAAAGGGATGGGAAACGGGGCGATAAAGCGGCCACAGATTTCTCGTTATTTTGTTGTTGTTTTCGTCTCTTTGGTGGGGACGCGCGAGATATTGACGAATGAGTTTTTGTCTGACGGGAAATGCACACGATAACCTGTGTGAGTGAGTGACGCTGGCGCGGTGCACTGCGGTGGGCAGCGTGCCATTGCGGTGCGGACTCTTGCTGCTAACAGGGCTCAAACCGTCCGTGGCGAGGCGCAGCGCGCAGCCACCACGCCCCGCCACGCCACGCCCCGCCCCGCCACGCCACGCCCCGCCACGCCACGCCACGCCACGCCACGCCCCGCCCCGCCCCGCCACGCCCCGCCCCGCCCCGCCACGCCACGCCACGCCACGCCACGCCACGCCCCGCCACGCCACGCCACGCCACGCCACGCCCCGCCACGCCCCGCCACGCCCCGCCACGCCCCGCCACGCCACGCCCCGCCACGCCACGCCCCGCCCCCTCGCCGGCTACACTGGGCACGCTCCATGCAGTACTTGTATTTTGATTGGTCTGGCTCGTCGGCTCGGCTCAACGCGCCGAGCAAAGCGTACAGAAGCGTAGCAAAGCCCTCAGCGTGGGCGCATCGGAAGTTGGAAAGCTGTTTCCAATTTTTCAAACTGCAATCATCATTCTCTCAGGAACGGGATCCGCGCACGGAATGTGGGCAAACTCTCGCGCACGGCCACTGCGCTGCGCTCCGTGTATAAGTTGAAGTTTAATTTAGTGTAACCCTTGGGTCCTTCTCCCGGACCCGAAGGCCTGAAGCCCGGGGTTCGATGTTCGAGGACGACTTCCAACACCGGCTCCGTGAAGCACGGGCCTCTCACTGTTACTTGCCTGGCGGTGTATTTTGGTGGGTGGTGGGGCTGTGCCGTCGTTTCGCCTCGGGACTCGAATTTCACGTGGTGACGACCCGGCCCGCCGCGCTGCCTGGCGCCGCCTCGCCAGAAGGACGCCCGAAAG